CATACATACACACACACACACACACACACACACACACACACACACAACACATACACACACGTGACAAACGGAAAGGATTATCGCGGGCTCGCATTTGGTCGGGTTCCAAGTTATGCAGAAATGTGAGATTATTTGTTAGGAGCCCATTTCTTCATAGAACTCAGTCTACACGTTCTTCCTACCTGTTTTATGTCTTTCTCAGGAGTAGAGTTGAAAACCTCCGAAAAAAAGCCATACATCGCTTCAGCTCCTTCACCACCGTATCTTTTCACCGTTGGAAACTTAACCGCAAGGAACTGATCGAAATTCTGTGGTAAAAAAAATACACAAACATTTCTGCTTGAGTTAGAAAAATAACTGGACACCAAAGATAGGGTTATACCTCACACTTAAGCATAAGTCTAGCTAATTTGACTTTTTCCTCGTTACGTAGCTCTTCAACAACACTATTTTCAAAATGTTGTGCTAACCATTGTCGCTCTTCCCAGTTCTAAACTACGTTATGCTATATAAGTAAAAAAATTAAACATATTTTTAGAAAGCTACTGTTAGCTCTGGTTTAACACAATACTTTAGCACCATTGGGGAAAAAAACCGAGAAACTTACATTTATGTGCATAAATTCAATAGCCATTGTACCACAATAGATTGTGCGCAGTTGCTTTGCGATATCCTCAAGACTTATTTGTTTTCCTGGTAACTGCTGATCCGGTGAAAGACCGTAGATTGCTGGATTCAATTCCGGAACACTGAAAAAGATTACCGATACGATGACTATTGTCTAAACACAACTTTTTCACGGTGGTCCAAATTCGTTAAAATTCGAATTCCGCATGTCAACCTTTTTACTTCCTGTTAATGTAATTTTTCACGGCAAGGTATGATGTGAAATACAACCACAACGATGCTGAGATATTCGGAAAGCTTGGACCCCGGGCCAGATCAAACCATGATTTGCCTTTCCAGGGGATCGCGCATTACACACTGCGCCACGAAGGTCCTTGCTCTGCGTTTCTCTCAGCTAGTTTTCTACCTTACGCTGCCATCAGTAAACACTATCACAATCAGATCCCATATTTGAGAAGAAATGACCTTCCATAGCTATTTTTTTTCAAATAAGTCTTGCCTTATCTTCCTTTTATGTGTACGTCTTTCTTTTTCATTTTTCTTTTCAACCTTCTGTCTTATGAAAAAAAACCAACTCCTTCGAAATCCGCAGACCAAGTGGATCTAATTCAGCCTGTAAATACCCGTATCGACGAAAAGCATTGATGAGATGAACCCTTTGACTGTCTTCTGGCCGCATTCCACCTATATTGAGTGGTAATTATTGAATCAAGGATCACTTTAAAAAACCAATAAACGTCACTAGATTTCAGTTCATTACCGAGCACTAGATAGAAGAAAATAAGCCCCTAAGAGTTAAATTTCACTTCGCGAAATGAAAAGGTCTAAGTTTTATTTCTCCTTTTTACCATCTGTGGCTAAGCCGCTCTTAGGAGGATCAGGAAGATGTCCAAATTGATTCGGTCCAGCACGAAATGATCGACAGGAGGCTCCTAAACTATAAAAGCATATAATTGAGGTAGACGTTCAAAACTCAGAATTCCATAAATCCCAGAAATATAGTTCACATAACCACAATGATGCTAAGATATTTGCAAAACTCGGGATCGCAGATTTCTGCGGTGTGGATCGAATACGCTATTAGCCTTTATGGGGTCTAACGCGTGCACCACCACACTATGCTGGTCGCTCGTTTCTCCTTCCCCTCAACTAGTTTCCTATCCACCAGTGCGCTCTATATGTGTAGTACACATAGTTCCCCGATTTGAATAACTCGGAACAGTAACCTACAGAACTTATGCGTGGTAATCTCTCAATTTGCGTAATGCTTGCGAACTGAAAGTTTTTTTTGCAACTAAGAGTATTTGAAGGAAAGTTAGGGGCTAAACCAGTGATGTAACTATGCATGAGTATTTAGAACAAAAGTAGATCAACAATGTTAACCATAAGGAACCACAGAATAAACGTAACAATAAGTGTAGAATTGGTCTTCTCAGAGAACTCCGTAGCTTAAAGTCGGCAGGCGGTGGAAAAGCACCAATTTCTTCGTTCGAAACAAGCCAGAAAAAAATCCGCTTGGTGCTGGAAAACAAATTTACCCCCGACCCTCTACAGTATGAATAACAGCATCCCAACAGAAGCACGACCCATTTCGTTAAGATTGTAGGAAATGAAGAAATGAAAATGTCTCCGTTAACAAATACATCCAGAAAGTCTTGCACGTCAGCAGCATCAGCCCTGAGTGCTCCATTCATACCATCATATTTACCGATCCCGTCCTTAGGCACACACACTGTTTACATAAAGCTCAGTAGCGGTCAAGTAGCTAGTAGACACTTTGCAATCGTCAAAATTCTATTCGCTGCAATATCCTCATTTCTGCTCGAAATGGAAGAGACTGCCATTTTCATTCTCCAACATTTAGTTCTTCTTTGGGAATATTTGCTTCCAAAAGCTGCCTTTGTGTTTCTGTCACGTACAAAAATTGATTTTTACGCTCATAACAACTCAATAGTTAAATACTACTTTCCACAATCCAAAGGAGCACCTAACTGTCTCATACACTGTAAATTTTGTCGCATTCATGTTACTGAAACGAATTAGAAAACCATAAAGGATATCACTATCCTAAGGTTGTTCAACACCTCTTGCTTATTGCTCCATGTCGCTACTACCGTCTATCCAGTTTCCCAGAGGAGTCCATCACCTTCTAGTTTCACATAGATTAAAATTGTTGCAAATATTCAGCTAGGTACGAGTGCGTGTAGCGCAGTGCTTGCACACGCCCTGCTATACACGCAGGATCGATACCCGAGTCGCAGGCTCACCAAACCTTCCATCTCTCCGGGTCAGTAATTTTGTACAAGATTTGTTTGGGAGGATAACAGCACTGGGTCGATACATCGGTAGGCCACTGTTTGTTGGACTCGTTTGGGCAAGATATGCACTCATTCACCTCCGACGATGTTTAGTGAAGCCGAATGCATGGCGCATCCTTCAAGGACTGATCAACGCCAAGAGTTTTGTTCTTTACCTTTTTATGTAGTTAGGTAACCACAGTTCATACATTGTACTCACACACTCTGAATGTTTTACTAGTGAAAAGAAAGAATACCTTTCCAGTTTAGTAACAGAGCAGTTCTGAATAAATAGAATGAGTTGAGACGTTAGCACAATATTTTTATACCAACCTCGTGTGAGCTCAACCATTTAGAAAATTATGGTAATAAAGCTGTTTGTCACTAGGAAGCAAAACCAGTAAGCGTGATAAACATTAGGAACATTTATTGAGCATTCATGCGTTTTCATCCAGCATCACTTAAAGTGAGTCACCACCCATCGTGTTTCGCTACAGTCGTTCAGTGTTTGCCTCAACTGTGGTGTTCACAACATCAATGCGATGCTGGCGGTGGCATTTACCCATCACCTCAGCTAGCGACAGATTTGTAGAGTTCGAAGGCGATACAAATCAACTTGTGAACACCAAAATGGAAGAATACGACATGAAGAGTTTCAATAAGCATCACCCAACATCACCGACACCAACAAGAAACAGGTCAGCACGCCTTAACACACTTTCATTTATTTGATTTTATTTATCCTATACAATCCGTCTTCACATGTATATTGGTCGAATCCATTCTCCCCGGAGTTCCCGGATAGCTAGGCCGGAACGTCCTCATTTGTATTGCCTCGACCCTGGAGGGAGGAGATGGTTAGTGAGCCCGAAGCGAGATCAACCCAGCACCGTGCTCATAATAACCGGCACCACTACCAACTGTGCCGCGCTTTCATTAAAGGATAAAGCTGTCAGCGTTGATCAATCCCTGAGAGATGCGCCATGCATTCGACTTCATTAATTATCTATCGTTGGAGGTGAGTGAGTGCATATCTGGCCTTTACAATGACTCGCGGTGGCCTACCGATGTATAGACCCAGTGCTGGTATCCTCCCAGGCAAGTCTGGTACCAATTTGCCGATCCCGGAGGCATGGAAAGCTTGGTGGGTCATCGGCACGGAGATCGACTCTACGTGTGTCGCAGTGGCGCCTTCAACCACACGCGCCCTCACGCTTTCATAACGAGATGAAAATCCAGCAGACTCAGAAATCTGCGCCTAAATCGAGAAATACACCTCTTGATACTAATAAAGAGGTTCTATAGCTGTACAATGTCAAATTGCCGAAACTGACAGATTCTCAATAATTTCTATGCCTCGTTTTCTTTTAAGCTTTTTGCCCTAAAGTTATCACAAAAAGATGACTCAATATTTACACACATGCCGATAACAGGCAGCTTACAGTGCACAGTCACCAAGCAAATTCATCACAAAATAACGGAATTCGATAAAAAAAAAACTCCCACCAAAAGTACGAAACAGAAGTAAACGGGAACAAGGGAAATTTCATTTCAGGAGAACACTACACCCACTCAGTGAAAACGATCGTTCCCACATAGCGCTAATGATCTTGTGAGTTCGTTACCTATCTAAAAACTCGGTAATACTCGTCATTGTTCTTTCTCAGAAAGGTATAATCCCAGACTATTGTTAGGACAACGCATTATGGATGATGAATAAAAAAGATTAAAATAGCAGTACTTTTTTAGCAAACCATGAACACTTCTCACACCTCACTTCCCTACAACTTATCTTACTCTTTAATTATATAAACATTGCGAGATATTCACCATTGAAATGTCAGAAGTCCTAACGGTTTAGCGCCTCATTATGGCTGGGAGCTGCTACTGAGTGTCCGGCTGCGATGTACAGCGAGGGTTCATGCCCTCATGCAGGCTCTCGCAAGCTCAGGAGTCCGGTTTTTCTATCAGGAAGTCTAAGAGTAAACCAATAGCAGGATCTATCACCGCCCTGGTATCAAAGTCGCATGGCGGCAAACCTACCTCTGATCCACAAGGGCGGCGACTGCCTGTGGTGGTGACGACCTGGGGCAGACTATGGTTAGGCTGACCTCGGGACTCCAGGAACTCCGAAAAACGGAGATTATGCTGAGCCCCGCACAACCGGTGAAGACGGGTCGTCCAAGTATCCAAGTAAGTAATGTCACAAGTTACACCAACACCCCATTTCTACGCTTCAAACCCCGCCCATCTTTGCACCATTCCCTTTTTCCTTCGACTGTTTTTTTATGCAAGCAAATTTGTCCTAGAGAAGAATGACAAGAGGAAAGTGTAAATCATTTCAGTACTTCCGCAATCGCCATCGCTTTAATAACCATAGCTATTATCTTGTCGGTCTACATTTTGTAACCATAAATATGAAATCAGAATTAGGGCATGTCAACGACGATCCTCAGGGATTCCACAGGAAATAGTCAATGATTGCGATAGGCCTTTACCCAACCATTCCTATTCTCAGTGTACGTCCTCATAAGCACTTATTTACTATCAATATCGTAACCCTTCGACACACATCATTATCATACCCAATACTTCTCTTCATTACTTTCACAACTAACCACAATATACAATGCCTCGTTGAACGATGCTAGTCCTCGCCAACATTGTTGCCTGTCTTAAACCAATACAGAGTACAAATCCTCCATTGAGTTAACTAGCAATTCTTCGTAATAAACTTATGATAAATCTGTAAATATGTGCTTTAGCATTTAAGAGAAGTCTATAACATCAAGAAATATGAGCAGGGTAGCTATCGCTATGACAGTGTCCTCGAATAACGTAGAGAATGTTTATTGAAGAAATCGTAAGATAACAACGAAATAAAGATAGAAAAATAAATTATTCAGAAGATCTAACTTGAGTGATCACAAAAATCAAGTCCACTGAAATGCAGCTAAAGATAGCATTCTGAAATACCGCCTCCGATATGGAACTTATTGAGTGCACGACGGTTTCAGCTGTTACTACTCACATTACTCTAACAACTTGATTAGGGCTTTTGGTTTTTCAAGTGTGATAAATGAATCAAAACATAACATAGGAATGAACCAAGTAATGGAAAGTTGCAAATTATTCCGAACTCAGCTAAAGAACTAAACAAGGGTAGCCTAAGAATGCTTTCTTTTCCAAATGTGTTCAACATAACACTAGATCACATGTGGACGAATTGCTGACAAATGGGATTCCTTTCAGGAAAATAAGCTCAGTGAATGAAATAAAAGAACTTTACATGATGTTAAGCTTCACTAGCCCTCCACTTTGATAAGGCTGTTGTTGCGCAGCAACAGGTTGCTGCTGATGTTGTTGCGACTGTTGGTATGGAGGTTGACGTTGAAATTGCCCTAGCACAGGTTGTTGCATTGGCTGTTGTTGCTGTTGCTGCTGCTGCTGAATCCAAGGTGTGGAAGCATTCACGCCGGCGTACGGAGCACCTATAATAGTAATGGACTAAAAAAAAAACTCAACCGACATTTATAATTTCTTTCAAGTATTTTTAGGTAAAGTAAAGACTCTTTAACTTGAAATATTACATAAAACTGTACTGCTTTGGATATGCACATCAGAACTTTGTTCCCTTTTATCAAACAAAAGGTTCATACAAATAAAATGTACTATTATATCCTACATTAGTGATAAACGGGTAGATTTCTACACCGCTGAACTTGGAAACCTTTAAACAGTTAGAAGTTGAACAAGAATACGCACTCAGGGTACTTTGTTGTGTTTGTCCAACAGTAAACTGAGTAGTGGGTTGTTGTTGTGTTTGTAGTCCAACTGTTTGCCTAAAATTCTTGGATAACTCAGTATAGGATAAAAATGAGAAGATATAGTTGGGACACTCTTTATAACTCAAAGGACCGACTTTCTATAAACCCTCGTATGAACTGCACTTATTCAGCCGACGCGAGGTTGGTATAAGTTGTCGTTGTTGCTATTGCTGGTCGATGGTTGATGTTAAGGCGGTTCCGCCTTCCTCAGCGCCTGTTACCACTGCCACCCTGTGAAATCGGCAAAAGTCAGCCATCGACGAACAACAACACCATCGACAACTTGTACCAACCTCGCATGAGCGCAACAAGGGCAATTCACAGGAAGATGCCGTATTTAAATTTTATGAATATAAAGTCCTACAGATATTGTTGCGTGGTCATAGGTGCTGAAGATTGAACACCAAGTGTAGATTGCTGTTGCTGGACGGTCTAAATATTGGGCTGTTGACAGCGAAAAAGTATAAACGAACTTACAACGGAACAGTAAATAAATTGCTATAGAAATTACATCTTAACAGAGCTCTAATATGTCGTAGATCTACTACACCAGTTAGTGAGAGAAACAATGACCGGTAAGAATTGAATTTTGTTTCCAACCATTTACTTTACCTTGAATTTTGTTTCCAACCATTTACTTTACCCTACAGAGCCATCGTGATTCATTTTTCGTATTCAAGTGATAACTTATCCAGTAACCAAAGTTGTTATGTCAGGCATCGATCGATGAAAGCTATTTGATGGACCTAATGATTTAAAACGAATTCCTTTTCGGATGAATTTATTCATTCCGGCACATATGCTGTTGCTTCTGACGAGTGTGCAAGGGCATCTAATCCGGTAAATGTGCCACAGAGAGAACAGTACGATGTCTACGTAGGATAAACACAAATACATAAGTAGCGCTACGATTTCTTGTTTTCGTATTGCATCAGTAACTAACAAAATGAGTCGTGGTAGCGAGAAAAGTATTTTGTCCTTCTTTGATAGCAGTGGAGTGAGTGGCCGGTACGGATCACATACCGTTCGTAATTCGAACGTCAAAAAATTAACTATCGCTGTGTTAAAGGCTACGATATCTTAACAGTTTCGGAGACTCACCGAAGCGTACTGAACTCCTACTGGAGTAGACTGTTGCTGTGGAACACCAATTACCCCTTGCTGTTGTACAGTTGCCGGAACAGCAGCATACATAGTTGCTGGCTGATTACTAATAAATGGTCCCTGTTGACCCGTAACGGTGCCAATTTGGGGCACACTAGCAAGCGGTTGCACTTGTGGAGGAGTAGCCACTGCATAAGGAGCCTGAAAATTGTCCAACATGAAAAAACATGCTCCGTTTCTGGAAAATGAGTAAAAAAAAAGCCATCACAGGGCACCGACAACTGTGTCACTGGCAATCGTGGTAATACCACGCTACTACTTGGCAAAGACCATCTATGACGTTCACATTTTTAGAAAAGGAAACAAAGAAAAAAACAAAGTAAACTAGCCTTTAATGAATATGGATGGTTACCACCAACTGCTACAGGTTGTGTGTACGCTTGCTGCTGCGGAGCGATGTACGGCACAGCAGAAGACGAAAGTCTAAATTTCACAACTTACTGCTAAACTGAGTTTGGAGCGCAAATTTTACCACGACACAATACTGATGGCCCCGAAATTTCGATACAATATAGTCGGAGATAATTTAATCGTAATTTCGATGAGTGACGCAACGCTCTTGGGAACCAAACGGTCACGATAATACGGTTCTTAATTATCATAAACCGCTCGAATTATCTGCAGATGGCATTGTTAATAATAGGAAATTAAAATGAATCAAATGGGGAAATAACTAGTCCGCAACCGACCGACTGACATCATGCTGATTCCCACACCAAAATATGTTACCACGGTACCGTATTGGTTAAGATTTAAGGAGACACTAGTGATGTTGAATATTGTCCAGGAAGTAGAACACCAAAAGAATGGTTGGGGTTCATACTATGGAGTTAAAGAAAAACGAACGATGAAGAACCGAAAAGAAACGAAACTAGAACACATATACTCACTCGCGCATACACACAACCTTAGCATAATCGTGGTCCCACCGACTCAAACCATATAAATCGAGGAAAACAATAACGATGAAATGTGTAAAATGAAAAACAACGAATGAATGGCAATTCCGGATTGTCCTAACCATAGTGCTGTCTCACATAACGTTCTAGAACAAACGAAATCAAAAGTCGAGAAGAACACGCGACGCGACGGAGCGATTTTGCAAGATAACAGCGATTTTGCAAGATAACAGCGGTTCCGTCGTCAAACGATTATAAACGGCATAGAAAACGATTTAGAATCGAAACAATTGTGGATTAGCGGCGACTACGAAAGCTATCGAAGATCGTCACTCGTAACGTCAAAAGACACGGGTTTCATGTTAAGGATGCAAAGAGGGAAAGGAAGAAGAAAGCGAATACGACAGAAATAAGGAAGCCATCCTAGGGCGAACTGAAACGATACGAATAGAAAGCTTAAGAGTTGGTCGGTGGGCACGCAGTCTTCGACTGGGTTTCGTAAAATTTTTCCCTTAGAGTAGCGCGATTTCTTTCCGAACTTTCTTGGTTAGCAAATATGCTTCTAATATGATTTCTATCGACACAATAATCGCTTTCCCAATAGTTGAAGTTCGAAAGTTATCTAAAATTATAACAAAGCTGCAAGAAGCAGTACTGTGTTGATGTGGCGCTTATTGTTGGCGCAAGCGGTGTTACATAGACTGATCCGCCGGACACACTGCCATTGCGTTTGGCATGAATCTCCTTTTGTAGGCGTTCACGATAATAGCTGTATCGTTGACGAGATAAATTGTATTCCTCATACAACTGTTGTAGTTCACTGAAAATAATCTATAACAATAACACCCATCTGAAAAGTGGAAAAAACAAACGATAACGAGTGTGAATAGAACAGTATAAAAATAACTCGGTAAAAAGGCGGTTAATAGTGCACGGTGAAAAATCAAATGGGATTCGCTAAAAAAAAACTACACTTTATAGGATAGAAAGGAACTCAAAGGTACCATAAGAAGCTAGAAAAGCAAGCAGTGAAATTCACTCACGGCTGTGGTGGACGAGGTATTTCTTCATCGACCATACTGATCATTTGGACTGTTCTTTTGGCATCAGGTCCGTCTCTTAAAAAGTTTTCTTCACTGTTTCTATTCCATATCTAGAGTGAACAGACAAGCATGAATGACTCCTTCAATAGACTTCTCTACTCACATCGCTCCAGCCGGTCGTTTCACTGCACCTGTTAAGTCAATCTTGATGGTCTGAGTAATTCTAAAAGCGCCAAGTCTTGAACAAGAACATGTTCAAAAAAATTGACAGTACAACAGGGTACTAAAAGAAGAAAGTAAAACGTCGAACAACCACAAACTCTAGCATCCGAGACATGCTCCGAACGTAATTCAAAACTAAGACCTACTGATTATTGGGATCTTTTGGGCAATTTGGAGTTTTATGATCAGTCGAAGCACAGCGAAAGCACTGATTAGACATTCCAGGCTGAGAACGTAGCTTTGATGTTGACCTGAAATATACGACAGTATCACGATAACTCCAAATTACCTGGCTGATAAAGAGGAAACATTACAATTGTATATGAATATTTTTTCCCTCCAATGTGTAGCCATTCAAACGAGATATTATGGACTGCACGTCGTCGTCCTCAATGTGCTTAAAAGAAAGAAATCACATGTTAGTTAACTTTCTATCTGTTGCATACCACAATTTTTCACGGGAGCGTATTATGTGAAATACAACCATGATGACTACAATGATGGTGAGATATTTGCAAACTGTCAGTGGTAGATTGAAAAACTAGTTTAGAGAAAAGCGAAACGAAGTACCAGCATGGTGTGGCGGTGAACGCGTTAGCGACCGGAAAGGGCAATAGCGTTTTCGATTCCCACTGCATACACCTGCGGTCCGGAGTTTTGCAAATATCTCGGCACCATTATGGTTGTAATTCAAATGCTAGTACTCCAATTCGATACATTTACTGCTTATACCACGACTCACACCACAATGGAAGTGTTCAAAAAACTAAATTGTGATCACACGAACGATCATGGGTATCAAGAGTTTATAATGACGAGCAGACTCTTGACTGGAGCCACAAAATTGGATACATATCTCAACATACACTTACTTCCACTTATAGGAAGGAACCTACCACAAACGCATAATTCTTAACAACATCACACTCCGTTACTTTGGTGAATTGTTGGAAGACTTGTTTCAGCTTGGTCGAGTCAACAGTGTCTGCGAGATTACCCACGAACAACTTCACCATCACAACTGAAAACGAGAGAACATCCGTAACAACTTTATATGGAAGTTCCCATAAATCAGGAAATATAGGAATGCCCACAATAAAACACCACATATGGACAGCTTACCAAAATATTTAGGGATTGAATAACTCAAGTAGGAGTAACGTCCACAGTTTAAAAAAAAACCTAGAGTTCTTGGCCATAACCAATCGCCAAGGAATACGCCACGCATTCGACAACATTAAGCATCGTTGGGAGGTAACTGGATGCATATCTGGCCTTTACAATGACTCGCCGTGGCCTACCGCTGTATTGAGCCAGTGCTGCTATCCCACCAGACAAGTCTGGCACCAATTTGCCGACCCCGGAGCGATGGAAGGCTTAGTGGACCAGGAGCGCTGAGATCGACCCCATGTATATTTCAGGGCGCCTCCGACCACTGCTCCACGCGCGTCCTTACGCACACAGTACTACACCAAGTACTTGTTCCAGCATTTAGAAAGTGTAGAACATAAGGAACTGGCGGAGAAAATATTCTGCAGTAAACTAAAATCACTTCACACTACACCGTCAAACACCACCAAGTCAATTTCTCCTTCATGTAAGGTTATCTTGAACACAAAATTACGGAAAGAATGGAAGATATATGAACGACTCTCAACGAATACGTATTTCAAAACTATAGCACAGCAATAACAAAGCTTCATTTTAATCGAATGTTAAACAGAATAAGACCAGTTCATGTGACAGAGAGACTTTCACGGTCAAAATATAGCCCACGACAGCAAACATTCAATGCATTACGTGATAAACGGTAGTATCAATACGTTAAGCACTTTATTCGTCGAAAAATTCATGTTGTCAACTTTGGTTACGAATAATACGAAAATCAAAACAAAACTGATCTAACAATAGGCCACGTCAGGTGCACATCCTGTGACAGTAGGGAAGTCGAAGTGTATGAAGATTTACGAGACATTCTCCGTTGACGGCTGATAGCGTTCCTTTTCTTTAATAAGGAAGTTGATTAAGAAGTCGATTGGACTTTCCGGTCGTTCTTTCGCAAGTGCTCCCAACGCCTTAAAAGCCACCATTATTTTATTTTCATAAAAAGGAATACTCCATCTTTAACATCTCACTACATCAATTTTTCTAAAAATCTCGAACTTCCTAGAAATTTCACAACTTTTCGACAACTACTGCCTGCAATCGTAATCCTCCCAACGGTTTACCGCCTCAAAGTGGCTGCGAGGTCTTCTTGGGTGTTGGGCTGCGATGTACAACGGGAGATTTATACCCTTCCAGGGCCTCCCAAGCTTAGGAATCCGAAATTTCCATCAGGAAGCCCAGTTAAGAGTAAACTAATACCGGGCCACCATCTTGGTATCCAATTGGTCGCATAGTGGTGAACCTCCCTGTGATTCACAAGGGCGGCGGCTATCTGTGGGAGTAACGAACTGGGGCAGACTTTGGCCAGACTGACCTCGGGACTCCGCGGGACTACAGTGGCTAGATCAGCAAAACTCCGAGGGAGCGGAGACTATGCTGAGGCCCGCATAACCAGTGAGGACAGGCGATCGAATTATCCAATTAAGTACTACAAGCATAATAGAAGTTTTGTCGACGTCTACATTTTAAAAAGATTCAGTAATCAATGTTAGGTGCATGAAAGAGAAACATATTCAATGTACATAGCACGCGTTTTCTCTCCACTCACCTGTAGAAGAATTGGCACCACAGTCTGATCGAGATACTGCCTGGTTGGAATAGAAGGTGCTGATCGAGGAGGAGCCGCAGCAGTAGCGCCCTGGGGAGCGGCGGCAGTACCAGAAGGTTGGGTCACGGGTTGTGCGGCAGAGCTAAGAGCTGCTGGTGTTGAAGCTGGAGCAGTAGTATTTTCCTGAACAGTTCTGACTGACCGAATACACTGAAACAGATACATTGAAATGACTTTGATCGATAGACCGCACCCATTGCGGTGAATACTCTATCAGAATCTATTAATACAAACAAGCAAACGTTGCTTAAGTACAAGTAACAGATAAGAAATCTATACCCAGGGGCGGTCCATTGCACTAATCCATGCAAGAAAAACAAAAATGTTCTATAGCTGTTCGGACTCTTCGTTCAGGTGTGAGCTTTCGTCGATCGACTTTCTCTTCAGCTCACCAAGACCATCTGGATACGCTACGAATATCAATTTCTGAACCACTGCTGAATGAGCTCAGCAAACGTCGAAGATAGTTAGAATGTTCTAACCATGTGGTTTTCCATCCAGTTTCATCTTCTACTGATCGTTTTTACTTCGTTAGAACTCGTAATGAACAAGTAAGAGTCTATACAGTATTATATCCACTATTTTTGAAATACATGTGATGAATAAATTACAAGCTATTTCAGAAAGATAAAGTTCGCTTAATGGGAGGATAGCACAGCAACAGTGATTTCGGTCCTCACGAGCACGCTGCTGGTTCGATTTCACTTCGGGCTCGCTCCTTTCATCCCTCGACGTAGAGAAATTGATGCCGGACTTGTCCGGGAAAAAACTCAGCAGTACAATTTGGAACGCTCCAGCCCAGCTATTTCAGGACTCCCACTAAGAATCGACTTGACCATCATTCCACCATATTCGAGATGAAATGGGAATCCTCAAGCAGCAGCTGAGACCAAGAGTAAAAGTTTGAAGATCTTCGTGGATAATCGATGTGAGGGGACGAACGGAATGCGAGAACTGTTGGGATCCGCGCAGTAAGCGTGAAGACGGCTCATGTGAAAAAAAATGGTAAGTTCGCTCAGAAATTTTTAAACATGGAAAAAGTCTTGCAAAATCGAAGGCTACAACAGGTCGATGGTGTCGTTATCTACCTTTACACTGCCAAATATTCTCACTTTCACGCAAACTACATATCCTCATTTGGAATAGTTACACATACTTCTCAGACTTTCAGGTTAACATATATATTTATACTAAGAAATCTGAAAAGGTTCTCCCTATGCAACAATGAACATCCTACCTTATCTCAATCCTACAAAAGCGCGAGTTCAGAAGGAATTTTCGACAGAATATACGAACAAAAATAAAAAAAACGCTTACTGAAGCACACCCAGTTCTTGATGAAGAATGAAAACCAACGGATTCTATTCGCTCGAATCCAACGTTTACGACTTCCTTTATGTTTTAACTTCATACTGATACCTCTGCAGTTGTAGTTCCCGTTTGAGGTGGAACTTCACCGGTTTCCATACTTTCAACTTGTGCTGGCGCAGACTCCGCCGGAACAGCAGGGATCTCACCCTGAGAAAATCGTGATATTCTTCCAAAAAAGAATTTTATACGAGATTAGATGAAACCATACAAAGCTGCAGAAATACCTATACTATTAGGTAAACACCTGCTCGTTATAAAATTGAAGTTATACGTTTCTTTTTCTGTAAGAAAAACGTATGGATATTGATCAAACCGTAGTGGAAGATATATGAATATGTCAAATCTATAAAAGAACAGACAAAACCTCACCGCAGCTGGTGCTGGTTCAGTTGCAACTTCAGCCATTACTGAAACAGACCTTATACATTAAGTAGTGACATAAATAATCCTTTCGGTTCTAGATTTCCACAAGACCTTGACAAAATACACGAAATACAAAAAAGAATAAGCGTTCTTCCGGTTTAAGCAATTCTAAACTAAAAGCTTCCTAAACTTCCTCTTCTTTGGAAGGGAGAAACAAAATTCCCATGAAAAGCCTTCCTTAGAAGCGCCAAAATATTTTACACGACATGAACGTCGCCAAAAATATAACGGAAAAGAATCAAAACCTTGTGCCCCACTAGATCTTTATCGATTAGTTTTAGATCATAGAAGGATAAAGCATAAAACTCTCGGCGTTGATCAATCCCAGAGGGGTGCGCCGTGTACTCGAGTTCATTAAACATCCACCGTTTGGAGGTGATTGAATGCATATCTGACCTCTACAATGACTCGCGATGGCATACCAATCTATCGACTCAGTGCTGCTATCCTTCCAGACAAGTCTTTTACCAATTGGCCAACCTCGAAGGGATGGAAGGCTTGGTGGGCCAAGGGCGCGGCGATCGATCCCATGTGTATTGCAGGGCGCTTCCGACCTCTGCGCTACTTTAGATCATAAGACATTATTCTTAGTGCTCGGTGTGATTTCTTGTCGGGAAACATTCCTTCCCCACCTTGCACAGCACGCTCTGTCTCACGTATATTACTTTTGCTCCGTAACCGCACTGGAAATACGGTGAATTCCTTAAGAGAATCGTAATTTTCGTACAAGTACACTAATTACCTTAACAACCAGGCGTTCTTAAAAATGCAGTTTGACAGTGAGTGAATCGATTTCTATCCTAATATGGAAACAAGTAACGCAACCACATTCACCGATGGCGCATTCCGTGAAAACGTTCTATCTACCAGCAGTACTAATACTAAGCAGTTATAGTAACACCTAAGGTTGAACGAATACCTAACAATCCAGCAATGTCCCAGTACATTACAAACTTTAGGAAGCTTTGTGTAGACGAAGTTTTCTAAAATATGCCTACGAAGAACCTAATTTACATCCAAAACACCTAAGACTTGCAAAACCATATTTGCTAAGAGGACTAAGGCAATTACAATCTAAGCATGTTGGGATGAAAGGAAGAACGTAATGACAATTAAAGTATATTGGGATGTAAGGAGGAAGGCACGCCAAGCGACATCGATGTGACCACGAAGGCAGCAACGCATCACGGACGACCGCGCCGCAGGCACGCAGCGCCGTACTTTGGTGTGTTGTTGTACAAAATTTCACGTCCGATTTGAATTAAAAAAAGTCCAACAACAAAGATGGTGAGATATGAGCAATACTGAGGGACCTCACCTGGGTAATGCTCCTTATTACCCTTTACGGTGGCTCACGTGTTGCTCACTGCACCACTGAGGCCCTTTCCTAGCCTTTCAGCCAGTTTTTCTGGTACGTTCATTTTTACCCTAGCGGTGCCATCAGTGGTCAGCCGCGAACGGGACTAATCTGGGAAGCATAAATCGGCGTTGAACTCAGTTAAGCTGAGGCTGAAGCCGAAATTACAGTTTTATTTTTTTTTTAAAAAGGATGTTTGATTCGTACTTGTGAGGAGTTCTGCAACTCAACCCTTAACGGAACCGCACTGTTTAATGTCGCCCTCCGAATGGAGTGCCAGAAATTTCTCGTCGAGTGTGGGCCTACCGATTTTTAGAAAATAAAAAATAATCTCCCAATAACTAGAGTGCTTTAGGGATTGTAAGCAAGACAGAATTCTGGAAGACACTTCGCTTTGTTGTTTTACAGGTATGAATGGTTTCCTATTATTTTTTTTTCTTGGCAGTGTGTGATGTGAAATAAGCCCACAATGATGCTGAGGTGTTCGCAAAATTCCGGACCGCAAGAAAACAATGGTCTATTTTCAGCAGGAAGAGGTTGGATGTCGTGGGTGGGACCAATTCGGTTTACTTCAGCAGTGTTTGCTGTACAACATCAGTTCAAACATGTCTTCTAAGTGCAGTGGGAATTTCCTAGTGACCAGTGCTGGATATATGTGCTGCAATTCTGGGATTTCACTATTTTCGTGACAGTACCTTTCCGATGTGGTCGTTTCTCCATGGTTTTGGAAGCTTTACTAGGGCAATTTGTCTACAAACAACCTAACAGTGACCGCAACCATTTTATCATGCAGATTACTTACTTGGCACTTGAACGGCCCTTCCTCACTGGTTGTGCGGGCCCCAGCATAATCACCATTTTCCGGAGATTTGCTGGTTAAACCATTGTGGTTCCCTGGAATCCCGAGGTCAGCCTGGCCAAACTCTGCCCCAGGTCATCACCACCACAGACAGCCGTGGCTCTTGTGGAGCAGAGGGAGATTCGCCATCATGCGAATAATTAGTTCTTTATTAGCTCAAGTTTAACGAACTGCGATAGGTGCGTTAATGTTGAGTCGCGCCAGTGACGTGTTGAGAGTTTTAAACTTTCAGTACTTGAATAACGTTTGCCGTCATCAGTCTGCTTCTTCGAACAAATGTGGTTAAATATGGTTTCACATATAGTGTTGAAATTCGATATTTAAATCCACGACTGCTTTTCATCGGTAAAGAACGATATAAAAAGGACAAAGAACACAGTGCATCATAGAAAGTCTGAATCCACTTTATGAAAATATGCAGAGCAATAATTCCTGGAATAGCTCAGTGCTATTTGAAGTCGTTCTCTGCATCTCAGACGGATCAAGCCCCGTATAGCGTGTTCAGTCCATTCCAGACTCCTCTATAGCATTTCAATTGCTGTTTTCACTCTCAACTTCATAGATGTCGCAATATTAATTGATTGCGATACAAACCACTTTTTATTCATTACTTTTCGAGGCTTTCGAGCATTTGCGATTAACTGGAACTACAGATTCGAGACGATATGAAACCACTTTGCACAAAAGTCTCGAGAAATCTCAGTGTTCCTGTCCTGAATATCTTAGGGAATTCAATATTTCCAAATACATATTTTCACATTCCCTGCATTATTTAACATATACCGATCTTTGTTAATTGAAGTGACACAATTAGAACCCACAGAGCTTTTGCCTACAAAGTAGAACTTTTCTTCTCTTATCACGAAGAAATTCGGATTTTCTAATCTCCAAAAGCGCGTCGTATTTCTCGTGTAGAGTCGTATACGAGCATCGAAATTTCCAAGCATTACGAGCAAGACGCTAGCTCTCAGACCTCGCATCAGGTTCATCAAGCGTCCGTCGTCGGAAAACTAGTACCAGACTTGTTTGGGACATTCCCATTCACTCTCCTCCTCGTAAGAACGTCCTGGTGCAAGAACATCTATAAATTAATCAAAAATCCTGAACAAATAGCCGAACATACACGCAAATATGAAAACTTTCAGGGATGAAGGA